GGTATATACACTCAACAGAGAGAGACAAAGCACCCTGTAATGGAGTGCAGTCATACCACAATCCTTTTTGTTGCATTTCTCCATCCCATCAGGATTTTGAGCACATAAGCACACATGGCCAGCATGTATTTCAAACTGCTGGGACTAGGATTTGAACCACAGTTGACCATGTGGGATTTAGCTTTCCATGCACAGGGCTTAACCACCGCACTGTGGAGCTGCCTTTTTACACACACACACACACACACACACACACACACACACACTATATTTATTTATTTATTTATGTATTTATGTATTTATTTATTTATTTATATGTAACTTATAGATGATTGATTGGTTGATAGATATGTAGGTAGTAGGTAGGTAGATGAAAATAAGGAGAGCGAGAGAGAGAGGCACTTTTGACAGTCTTACTCAACTCTCCTGCTCCAGCCTCCTCGCTGGCTAGGACCACAGGCATGCATCCCTGCACCCAGCCGGTTCAGGTTGTGCAGGGAACTAATCCCAGGCGTCACATGTGGCTTCAGCCACCATACAGCAGTGTCCTCCCCCTTGCACCATGGTGGCTGGGCCTAAATTATGAGGGCACTGTGTCACTCCTCTCCAAAATGTGTGATATATATATAAAATGTGTGACTTTTTAAAGTCTGCAATTTGTTATTAAAAGTTGTCCTGAAGTGTTAAAAAATTCAGTGTTTCACATTCTAGAAAGGTGATCCATGTATGTGTAGCGCCTTGTGCAGGGTATAAACATTCCGTGATCAAACACAATATTTTTGCAGTAAAACATTTGAATATTTGTGCCAAGTAAAATAAATAAAAACTAAATAACCTCTCTAAATTTTGCCTCAAGTGAGCTTTGGCTCCAAACTTATTAAAAATATATATAATTTTCAAAGTTTTCGAATTTCAAAATTGTGGAAATTGTGAACCTATGTAAGCATGAGTGTTCAGAATACAATAACTTCCAAAGATCTAGATTCTTTTTACTTGGGGAGGTCCTTTTGAGAACAAATAATAACTAACTTCTAAAAAATAATTAATAGTATTTTAGTAGACTTCATAAAGAACTAAGATGTTAAATATTTAACCTAATAAAAATATATATAAGTAATGTAAATCCTTTGAATGAGGGTTAATAAGTCTTTCCTGACATCTGACATTGGCAGAACAACCCTTAACATTATCTTTTTTTGACATTGGATTGGAATGTTACTATTGCACTGTGTTAGTGGTTTTTATTCACCATGCACGACCATCTCTTTTTTATGCTTTTCAGATGGTTGTATTTTGGTTATAGACTTGGAAAAACAATGACTGTGTTTCTTCTGCAAAATCAGCTTTTCTATCCCTGTTCACTTTGCCCTTTTGGACATGTTCTCAGATATCTGTCTGAACCTTCTGTGCCCCTGTCTTAGCCTTTACATGAACTAAAATCCTATCTTCAGAGAGTATCTAAGGACAAAGTAGTTAAGATGACTTCAAGACTAAGATAGCAAGAATATTGGAATGTTAATTTCCCTAGTTTAGTATCTTACGGTTTTAAAATGTAAAAAAATGTTGTGATAGCATTTTAGTCTTTGCACTTTGAACACAATCTCAAACTTACTCGGAACAGTTTGGCTTTTGTTTTCCTGAAAACAAAATTAAATCAGTAGATGTCTTATCTCCAAGTAAAACCTAACCAAAATTTCATTCCAATGAATTGGTATTTCAGCAGTTGTTCTTTCAATTTAATTGTCTCTGTGTTATCAAAATTAGCATTAGCTAACTAAGACAGTTAGACCCAGATGCAGTAGTGCAGGCTGGGCAGTGCTATTTGGTAGACTAAAGCCACATGGGGGAGAGGTCCAGTTTCATTTCCAGTCTTTCCTACAAAGCACCATCTCAATCCTGTCATCCCAGCTGCTCAGGAGGATTATAGCGTATTGAGTGCATGTCTCTAGACACACACACAGACACACACACACACACACACACACACACACGAATGGGCAAAGAATAATCGAATAACCAGTGAGACAGTGTAGGCCTGTAAGTACAGATGGACTCCGAAGTCAGTGATACCTTAATACAAGCTCTGGACTCATCACCTCTGGCTGAGTGGCTTTGGGGGAGACGTATACCCATTCTGAGCCTAGATTTCCACACCTATAAACTGAGTATAGTCTATCAAGATCATTTTAAGAACTAAATTAAATGAAAGCAGTACAGAGCTTAACTATTTGACAAATGATTCCTTTAAAAAAAATTAGCACAGCTTTATAGTTTTCTAATTTAAAAAAAAAAGCATAAAAAAGAAATATTTCACCTGAACTCACACCACTCAAAGGTAACTATGGATAACATTTTGATAAATATTCTTTCAAATATCTCTTGGTGGTATATGCATATACAGATGTGGGTATACAGCTGCATGTGAATTGATTTTTACTACCCAGATTTCAATTTAAGCATTTTTTCCATTCGACAATATGTCATGGATATCTAACATTTGGAATATCTGTAGTCCCTAACCATCTCAGTAATTTGATATTCCTCCCACCTTTCCTCAAGTGAAAAGTCATGACATATTTTTTTGTTTTTCTATGCAAAAATTTGTTGTGACTCTTCCGACAACCCAGTACTTTGTTTTTATGTTGTTCTTATATAATATATCTCTGGTACCTCCACAACTTATATCCTGTCACGGATTTTAAATTCCAAGTATATTAAATTTATGCTTTAAGACTGTTTTGAATTTTTACAGAGACCTTAATGCTCTTGGGTTAGGCCGAGTTCCCAAGTAATACTTTTTAAAAAAAAAAAATTGGAGCCGGGAGCAGTAGCATTGTTAGCATGTTTCAGTGTTTCTTAGGCAGAGAAACACCGTGTTCCACTGCTCACACCAAGGCATGAGCCTGATTGTGCTTTTAAAATTAATTGGAGCACTAGTAAGAATCGGATTGCATCTCATTTTCCTGTGTCTTGATTTTCAAGTGAGGAAGCTGGGGCCCAGAAAGGAAGGGTAAATTAGTCAGGATGATGCAGCTAAGTCTCTTTGGAAAGTAAGTAAACTTCAAATTTCAATGGCTACTTTTTAAGAAACTAATAGATTTCATAAAGTAAAAATTCTAATAAAATTTTCTTAATTTGAAGACGCAAAATCTTCTCCCCCGGTCATTCATTGTAAATGGATTTTGTAGTAGAAATTTAAACATAAAGAAGATTATATTAAATGGCATTTTATTGTATGAGTGTGAGAGGGTACTCAGTCCTGCAGTCAGCTTTGAGAACCTGTGTTAAAGCTACTTAGTAAGTTAGTTCCCTTTTTCTTCTGTTCATTTTGTCCTTTCACATACGCAATGATCTTGTCCCTAAATCAGTTAGAAATGGACTCTAATGCGAAACATTTATTCTCTTGTCATCCCTGAAGGCACCATTCTGATCATCGTGGGCCTGGTTCTCACTCGGGAATCAGAGCATTAGGTTCTATTTGCCAACATTTACTGAGGCCATTTTTTGTACTGTTGGGGCACTGCTAGATGCCAGGAATGCAGAGGTTAAGACCGTGCCCAGACTCTCAGATTGCCCAACAACAGATGGGAACCCGTGCAGCTGTAGCAGCACCATGTGATATGTACCTGGCAGTGATTACTCAAAAAATGCAAACAAATGAAAAATTAATATAATAGAGATATGTCAAAAAGAAAGGCGTCTCTGAATCTGTCTGAAAAAAGTCAGGGAAGATTTCACAGAGACAGCACTTGGAACTGAGATTGGAAGAATGACTAGAAGTCTGTTCATGAATTAAAAAAAAAAAAAGATAGGAGAGTTACACCAGCCAGAGGGAACAATACTCAAAAGCATAGGCTTGTGTCTAGGTTAAACATTTGTTTTCCATGAAAACACCTATGTGCTTCTGAAATTTTTTACTAAAATTTATGATTTCTAAAATCCAGATGGTTACAAAGATCTTGGGACCAGCAGTTAGCGTAATGGCTATGTCACTGGACTCCCATGTAGTCAACTGCGGTTTGCATCCGGGACCCGGTGGCTTAAAACTCATACCGGGCGCGTGTGCGTGCGTGCCCAAGATCCCGAGAGGAGAATGGAGGAGAAGGGATTGCAGCGTGACCATCCCCCCAGGGGTGATTTCTCACTTTCTGTCTCTCTGTCTCTCTCTGTCTGTCTGGTGACCGCACGTGCCCTATAGCAAAAACATCTCAAAACACACACACACACACACACACACACACACACACAATGATCTCAAGAATCACAATTACTTGACTTCCCCTACTTTAGACTATTTCAACTGGACACAGACAAATGAACATCTACCTACCCTATACTTAAAGGTTGCTAGGAAAAGTCCTCTTAACCACATTTGTGAAAGAACCACAGCATTTGTAGAGCTAGAACAAACCCTTAGTGATCATTTCATCTAGCATTTTTATCTTGCATATGAAGACATTAAAGCCCAGAGAAAGGGAAGAATCTAGTTTGAGGTTTGGTAGCAAGTTGATGATAAACCTCTAAAGTAAACAAGCTACCTTAGGGCAGGGCTCAAGGTGGGATACATATTGCATCATGTTTTGTTTTGTTCTTGGTTCTATTCAGTGATTCCTCCTTCAGTCACATTGAAACTATCTAGTTGTTTCCTTTTCTCTCTGTGCAATTGTAGTGTCATGGTAAGCTGGCATGCATATTTTTTTCTCCTTTGCCTAGATTAGCTAGTTTTCTTCACACCCAAAAAGATCAGTCCTGAGTATTAAAGGTGAAGGTTTTTGTGCTCAGCAATTTAAGACAAAAGCCTGTGACCACTTGTGGTTTTGCACTGTCTTCCTAGTCTTCTGATGACTTTCTGTGACATGAAACATTGCTTCCCACAGTAGTGGAGCATGCCATGTGTTTTGAGTGCTGGTTAACAGAAGGCCTTCTGATCCAACTAAACCTGGTAGTGGGTACAAAAAAGATAACCGTGCTTTTTCTCTCTGTTTTCTTTTGTGTCGTAGAGCCGGCAATTAGAATCTGAAACTGGGACCACCGAGGAGCACAGTCTAAATAAGGAGGCTCGGAAATGGGCCACACGAGTAGCACGTGAGCACAAAAACATTGTTCACCAACAGCGGGTAAGTGAGAGAGAGTCCTAGCTACGTCGAGTTTAAGCCGAATCTTAAACAAGTTAAGGAATTGGGTTTCATTAATGTGAAAAATATCCTATATATGTTTTTTCTGAACTTTCTCAACACATGACAATATGTACTCAGCTCTCCAGGAATCTCAGAAATTCTTTAAGCCCTTTAGCAACAACACACTAATTCATCTATTTGCCACAAAATTGTCTAAGAAAGGCTAGAGATAATGTATTATAATCTTTGGGCAGGAAAAGAGACACACATATATTAAATTAATGGAAGTTTTCATCTCCTAAGACAAATTTTTTGAAGACACAGTGTAGATTCCATGAAAATATACCTTCAGGAGGGCTGATCGTGTTACAGCAGTGAAGCACAACACTCTGTAAGGCTAACCCACATGGGATGGTTCTGGGTTCATATCCAGAAACCTCTCTGAGTATGCCAGACATGTATGTGTCCATTATCTGAGGCTGGGAGTGGTCTGTGACATTGGGACCCTATTGGGGGTTCTCTGTCTCTCTCTTTCCTAGAAGAAATAAATAACCTTTAAAAAAAGAAAACTGGGGGGCCAGCAGGTGGTGTAGTAGTTAAGGTGCCGGACACTCCCACATGGCTGACCACAGTTCGAGTCCCGGACCTGGTGGCTTGCCTTCTTCTCACTTTCTCCACTTTCTCTCTCTCGCTCTCTCTCTGTCGTCAAATTGAAATAACTAAGTAAATAATTCTTAAAAAGAAAAAAGAAAACTGTATCTTCAAGATCATACACACAAAGATATTATTTATAGTATAATACATTTTTTCAGTTTCATTTAGGCCTATATTCTTCTCTCTCTCTTAGCCTTCACATTCATTCAACCTATTTTTTATAGAGATTTTTGCTCTAGGGCACATGCCCTCAACAGAGAGACAGAAAGTGAGAAATCATCCCCCAGGGGTGATAGCCATACTGCAGTCCCTTCTCCTCCATTGTCCTCTCGGGATTTGGGGCACACATACACATGAGCCCAGCATGAATTTCAAGCTGCCAGATCCAGGACTTGAACTGCAGTTGACTACATGGGAGTCCAGCGCCTTAACCATCAGACACCACTTGTTGACCCCACACGTTCAGCTTCTTAAAAGAACTGTCCATACTCGGGACCAGCAGATGACGTGATAATTATGTCGCTGGATTCCCATATAGCCAAGCACAGTTTGAGTCCCAGACCTGCTAGCTTGAAACTCAGGCCAGGTGCACGTGTGTGCCAGCCCAAAATTCAGAGAGGAGACTGGAGAAGGGATTGTGGCATGGCCATCCCACCTTGGTGGTGATTTCTTGCTTTCTGTCTGTGTCTCTCTGGTGAATGCACATGCCCTGTAGCAAAAATTTCTCTCAAAAAAATAAAAAAATTAAAAAGAACTATTTATACTTTATCTGTGTATCCTCACCTCCCACTTAAGGGGACCCATTATCTTTGAGCTTTCCCTTCCTTTTGTTCCCTGTACCACTTCGCAGAGACTAAACTCGCCAAAATCACCAATGACATCTCTGGTGCTAGATCCCAAATGGTCACTACTTAGATTTCTCATTTTTCTTAACCCGTCAGCACTTTCATCATCACAATGAACAACTCCCCTGTCTTTTTTTTTTTTTTTTTTTAATTGGCTACAGGGTATGTGTGCTCACCAGGAAGAAAGAGAGAATGCACCTCTCCTCCCTCCCCCAAGGAGATGGCCATACCTCAGTCCCCTCTCCTCCATTCTCTTCTCAGTATTTTGGGTGCACACGCAAATGTACCTGGCATGTCTTACAAGCCACTAGGTTTGGGATTCAAACCATCTAATTGGCCATGTGGGATCCAGCTGTGCTAACCACCAGCTGGCTCACACACCTTTGTCTTTTTTTTTTTTTTTTTGAGGTTTTTGCCTAGGGCACATGCACTCACCAAAGAGAGAGACAGAGACAGTGAGAGGGAAAGTGAGAAATCACCTTCAGGGAGGATGGCCATGCCACAATCCATTCTCCTCCCGTGATCTTGGGCACACACACACACATTCCCAGAGCGAGTTTCAAGCCACGGGTCTGGGGCTCAAACTGTGTTCAGCCATGTGGGAGTCCAGTGACGTAACTGCTACACATCTGCTGCCCCTCCCTTTGTCTTAAAGCAGTCTCCTCTAGTCATCCATGAGTCAGCATTGTCCTGCTTTCCTTCTGCTTTTCTTGCCATTCCTAGTTTCTTTGATAGGTCCTTCTTTTTCCATCCTATAATTAAATACTTAAATTCTTTAAATTTATGTACTAGGCTTTCTTTTTTTTCTTACTCTTTATTCTCACTGATGATAGTCTCAGCCACTTCCATGGTTCTACATAACATGAAATCCTGAATGCCCGTAATGCTGGGCCTTGCTACTCTGTGTCCTGAATCTTCTTGCCTATTTATCTTCCTTTCACCATCTCACAAACATCTTCAATGCAGTCTTCTACTTCCTAACTGCTGAGGAATAAAACACCCCAAACTTAATGCTGTGAACAGGAGCATTTTTTAATATTGTCTCTCATTGCTGGGTATTGGGTGGTCTCTTCCCTGTCTTTTTTTTTTTTTTGGAGAGTTTTTTTTCGCTATAGGGCGTGTGTACTCGCCAGACAGACAGAGAGAGACATAGAGACAGAAAGCAAGAAATCACCCCCCAGGGAGGATGGTCACGCAGCAATCCCTTCTCCTCCATTCTCTTCTCAGGATCTTGGGTATGCATGCACACGTGCCCGGTGTGAGTTTTAAGCCACCGGGTCCAGGACGCGAACTGCAGTCGACTACGTGGGAGTCCAGCGACATAGCCATTACGCTAACTGCTAGTTCCCTCTTCCCCGTCATTTTTCACTTGGGGGTCTCTCACTTGGTTGTATTCAGATAGTGGCTGGTGCTGGTGTCATCTCTATGGGTGCACCACTGAGCTATCTGGTGTGGGGGTCAGGGAGGTTTGAGCAGCCAGGAACTGGAGCAGCTGGGTCGCATCATGCACCTTAATCTCTACTCTCTGCATGGCCTGGCTAACACGCAGCTTCTCAGTAACTGCTTCTTACATACTAGCACAGACCACAAAGGTGCGAGTCCCAAGAGTGAACAAGCAGATGCTTTGTTATCTTTTAACCTCGCCTCAGAGATAACATAGTGTATTTTATGTCATGTTTTTATTGGGTCCTCAGAAAAGTCATGACACATTTTTGCATAGAAAAAATATATGATGATTTTTCAGATGACTCAATACATTAATGAGCAATTTCAATACAGTCCCAATGAAACAAGATATTTTAAAGAAACTTGAAATCTGGTTCCAAAATATATCTTGATTTTCTTTTTTTAATGTACAGAATAGCCAAGGACAATAATGAGCCTAACGTGCCTTATCAAATACTGAAAAATGCAGTAATGATTTTATAATTAAAGTTGTGGCATGATACAAAAGTTAACAAATATATCAAAGAAAATGACCCTTATATATATAGCAGTTTAATTTAAGGGCCATATTAAAATACTACTTACAACCAACTAGCCATGAAAAGTCATTTTTTAAAATTTTCTGTAGTGTACATATGCCCACCAGAGAGAGAGAGGAGGAAAGTGAGAAAGCATCCACTCAGGGGAACTGCCGTGTTGTAATTTCTTCTCCATTCTCCTCTTGGGATTTTAGGCATGCACACATACTGTGCCTAAGCATGTTTCTTAAGCAGCTAGATCCAGGACTAGAACCAAGCAGTCAGCCATATGGGATCTAGCCACCTTAGCCACCATGCCACTGGCTGCCCCTAAAGGTCATTTTTTGAGACAGGCAGGGATATTTAATGAACAGCATATTAGAGACTACCAAGAAATTAATGTAAGGTGTAATAGTGGCATTGTAGTTGTATAAAAAATTTAACATCTTTAGGGAACCAGCAGTTAGTGTAATGGCTATGTCTCTGGACTCCCACGTGGTCGACCGTGGTTCGCGTCCCGGACCCGGTGGCTTAAAACTCACACCGGGCACATTTGCGTGCGTGCCCAAGATCCCGAGAGGAGAATGGAGGAGAAGGGATTGCAGCATGGTCATCCCCCCGGGGGGTGATTTCTCACTTTCTGTCTCTCTGTCTCTCTCTGTCTGTCTGGCGAGCGCACGCGCCCTATAGCGAAAAAACCTCTCCAAAAAAAATGTAACATATTTAGAGACTTTTACTAAAGCATGGAGGAGTGGAGATTTATAGTATCTTAAATTTACTCTAAGATGATTTGTCAAAGAAAAAAAGGAAATCAGTGTGACATAATGCTCTCCTAGGCAAGGCCTGAAAATAATTTTAAAAAAAGGAGGGGCCAGCAAGTGGTATGGTGGTTAGGGGTGCTGGACTACCATGTGTCGAGGGGCCAGTTGAGTCCCAGACCCAGTGGCTTGCTTTCTTTCTCACTTTCTTCCTTTCTCTCTCTCTTTCTCTCTCTCTCTCTGTTCCTCTCTGGCTAAATTAAAATAGACAAATACATAAAGTTAATTTTTTTTAAAAAATCTTTTAAAAAGAGAAAAAAACACAATAAATCAAATATAGAAAAATCTTGACAAGTTTTGAATCTCAGTGATCAATATATGAGAGTTTGTTGTACTAGTCTTTCTATTTTTCAGTATATTTGAAATTGTTTATATTTTAAAAAGGCACATTAATGGCATTTCAAATCTTTAGGGAAAGGATTGAGTAAATGGTGTTAGAACAGTTGTCTGTGTCTTTAGGAAAAAAATGTAAAGTTAGATTCCTCCAGTCTACTATGCCCCAAATATACTTCAGAAGAATTAGAGTTAAGTGCTCAGGGCCGGCAGGTGGTAAAGTGATTTAGGCACTGAACTCCCACATGGTTTGACTGTGGTTTGAGTCCCAGACCCGATGGGTTGAAACTCGTGCCAGGCGTGTGTGCATGCGTGCCTAGAATGCTGAGAGGAGAATGGAGAAAGGATTGTGGGTCGCCATCCCCTCAGACAGTGATTCCTCGCTTTCTGTGTCTCTAGTGAGCACACAAGCCCTATAGTAAAAATCTCTCAAAAAAAAAAAAAAAGCTAAGTGCTTAACAATAGATTATTATTCTTACTTATTTTGAAGAAATTTTTGCTATAGGACATGTGCGTTTGCAGAGAAACAGAGAGACAGAAAGCAAGAAATCACCCCCAAGGAGGGATGGCCATGCCGCATTCTGTTCTCCTCTTGGGATTTGGGCATGCACACTCATATGCCCTGCGTGAGGTTTAAGCCACCGGGTCAAGGACTCAAAGCACGGTCAGCTAAGTGGGAATCTGGCGGCGTAACCATTACACCATCTGCTCTTCCAACACCAGATAAATTTTAAAGTGGAAAGATAGGGACCAGGTGGTGGCATAGCAGTCACACCCATTGGACTGGCATGAGAAAGGTCTGGGTTTTCTATCTTGGGATGTCCCTGTGCATGCTAGGTGCATACATGTATGCCTGTTTTAAGAGCTGACTGGGACTGAGAGTAGATCATGACTTGGTGACCCTGTTGAGGGTACTTGTCTATCTCTGGGAAGAAATAGAGGAATTAACTTTTTTAAAAAACTGGAAATATACAGAATACTTTTGATATATTACAGATACTTTACTGAGGAAGCTACAAAACCCCAAAGATTAATGTGGCCATAGTAGATGAGGGTGGCAAGATGGCAGCCTCCTGGGACCAGCAGTTGGCATAATGGCTATGTCACTGTATTCCCATGTAGCCGACCGCGGTTTGAGTCCCGGACCTGGTAGCTTAAACTCACGCCAGGCACATATGCGTACGTGCCCAAAATCCTGAGAGGAGAGTGGAGGAGCAGGGATTGCACCGTGGCCATCCCTCCGGGGGGTGATTTCTCGCTTTCTATGTCTCTGTCTGTGTTTGTCTTTCTGGCAAGCGCACATGCCCTATAGCAAAAACCTCTCAAAAAAAAGAAAAAAAAGATGGCAGCCTCCACCTTTGCTGGCACTGTGTGAGCAGCTTCAAGAATCTTAAAGCCCCTGATAGATAGGTATCTTCGGCCTGTTGAAATCGTGCCAAGAATGCCTGTCTTATTTCAGTACTGTCCACCAGACATTTTAGTTCTGTCCAGTCACCAGTTGTCTTCTCTGTTCCCAGACTTTCCCATCCATCAGAGACCTGACTTGTGGGCATACTGCAACTATCTTTAGTAGAGTGGCCCCCTTGCTTCCAATTGTCCTGAAGCTCCTTCCCAGTCAGGTCTGTAACATACGTCAGTTCAGGAAAAGACAAGAGGAAGACTGTGAAAGCTGTCATCTATTCTGACCTTTGGCTAAAGAGAAAGACTGGTTTTAAGAAAAAAATTATGGAGAGGCCAGCAGGTGGCATGATGGTTAATGGCACTGGACTCCCACATGGCCAACCATGGTTTGAGTCCCAGACCAGGCGGCTTGCTTTCTCACTTTCCCTCTCTCACTCTGTCTCTCTCTGGTCAAAATTAAAAATAAATAAATAAAGTTAAATAAATTCTTTATAAAAATTGTGGAAGAGGACAAAAGCAAGAAAAAGATGCACGAGGGCATTTGTGTTCTGCAGTAAAACCCAGAGTAAACTGTCAGAAAACTGACAATGTTTTTCTGGAAGAGGCGAAACTGGTATGGTGACACTCAGACAGATCTGAAGTTCAGGTCAGAAGCTTCACAGTCCCTGTGTATATTATGTCTTTACAAAAACGAGTAAGTTAACACATGATGTAAATTGTACCAGCTGATATGTAAACACATGATAAAAGTAAGCTGAAAGTTTTAAAACTTAATGGATTAAACATTCCCAAATTTGGTCAGAGGAAAAAAGCAAAAACCCCAAAGACTTTAAAAAAAAAAAAAAGAAAGAAACACTGGTAAATGTGACCACGTAAAAACTAAATACTTCTGTTTAACAAAAGAACATACAAAAGAGAGAAAGGATAGAGTGAGAAGAAATATCTGTAACACAAATAACAGAGACTAGCTAGAAAGAAATATGTGATCATTTCTCAGTCTCCGTAGTGAACTGGTTCCAGGACCAGCAAATACTCAAGACCCTTGTATAAAATGGTATAGTATTTGCATATAACCTATCACATCCTTCTACGTACTTCAAATTATCTATAGAGTCACCAGCAGTTGGCGTAATGGCTATTCGCTGGACTCCCATGTAGTCGACTGTGGTTTGAGTCCCAGACCCGGTGGCTTAAACTCACACCGGGCACGTGTGTGTGCATGCCCAAGATCCCGAGAGGAGAATGGAGGAGAAGGGATTGCGGTGTGGCCATCCCCCCTGGAGTGTGATTTCTTGCTTTCTGTCTCTGTCCCTGTCTTTCCTGAAAGCACCACTGCCCTGTAGGGAAAAAAAAAAAAACTCCCAAAAAGTTATCTAGATTATTTATAATATCTAATACAATGTAAAAGCAGTGTAAATAATTATTATACTGCACTTTGTATTTGTATTTTCATTGTAGTGTTTTTCTTTTTTTTACTATTTTCTATCCATAGTCGATTGAGTCCATAGATGCACAAGCCATGGATATGGAGGGTGATTGTATTTAAATCATAATAAAAAGACAAGAGAGTAGAAGAACAGATAAGAGAATATGATCTGCCCATTCATAGATATAGATATACCAGGCCAGCTTGTGGTGTGGTGGTAAAGATTTCTGGATCCCACACAGCTTAGCTCACAGTTTGAGTCCCAGACTGGGTGGGTTGAGAAACATCCTGGGCACATCTGCCCAAAAGCCCAAAAAGAGTGAGAAGTGGAAGAGAGAATTGCAATGTGGTATTCTCCTTGGTGTGTGCTTTTTCACTTTCTCTGTCTCCCTCTCTCTCTGTCTCTGCAAATGCACATACCCTTTGACAAATTAAAAAAAAAAGAAAGAAAGAAAGAAAGAAAGAAAAAGAAATGCAGATGCCCAGCAACACATAAGAAATAATGATTTTTATTAATCAGATACAGAAAAAATGAAAGAGTTTTAAAATATAAAATGTCATATTAGCATTATTTTAAAGATTGATGATATCCACTGTTGATAAGAAATAGGAAAATTGGTCTGGCCTCATAACCTTGTGTTAAAAGGAACTAGATTCCACAAAAACAACTACACACCTCAAATCCCAGACCTGGCTGCTTGAAAAACGCACCAGGTGGGGGCCAGCAGGTGACATAATGGTTATGTCGTTGGACTCCCACATAGTCCACTGCAGTTTTAAGTTTTGGACCCAGTGGCTTAAAACACACTGGTCACATGTGCGTGCCCAAAATCCCAAAAGGAGAATGAAGGAGAAGGGATTGTGGTGTGGCCACCCCCCCTGGGGGTGTGATTTCTCTTTCTGTCTCTCTCTCTCTCTCCGGCGAGTGCATGTGCCCTATAGCAGAAAATCCCCCTAAAGAAAAAAGGGGTGGGGGAGAAGGAAGGAAGGGAGGAAAGGAGGAAGGGAGTGAAAAGAAAGAATGACAGACAGACAAGGCACATCTGTGCACATGCCCAAAATCCCAAAAGAATGGAGAAGAGATTGCAATGTGGCCATCCCCTCTGCTAGATGCTTTCTCACTTTCCCCCTCTCTCTCATTCTCTCTCACTCTCTGTCTCTCTCCAATCAGTACACGTGTCCTGTAGCAAATTAAAAAAAAAGAAGAAGAAAGAAAGAAAGAAACAGGGAAACATGTTCCCACACATCTGTGTTTTTATCTTAAATAGTCCATATGTGAGTAAATGACTCAGTGGTTTATGTAGTACTGTTTATAATATTGAAAAGTTTGCAAACTCAAATAGCAATCGAGTAAGAGTAAATAAATTATGGTACAATTAAACTGTTAAATCTACGGGTTAGTTAAATAGAATATAGTCAATCTGTACAATATGAAAAGGATTCTTAGAGACTGAAAGGGTGATATTTCTCATTTCCTTTTTATAAATAAAACTTTATGTTTGTGCTAGTATTATGAAAATGCACAGAAATGGTTTGGAAAAATACACCTAAATTGATGAGCTGGCAGTTATCTCGGATGGAGGGCATATGGTAGATTGTGCAGGTATAATGGAGACTTTTTGTCATTTTGTACTACTTGTTATTTTGCAACTATATTCTATAGTCATGTAATTTTTTAAAAGAAAAGATATGCATGTCAAAGCTTGTGCAATCCAAATAAGATCTATAAATTGTGCCCATGTTGATTTCTTGGTTTTTATACTCTACGTAGTTATAAGTTGTTGCCTTTCAAGGAAGCTGAGTGAAGTTTCTCTCTGTACTACTTTTATAACTTACTGAAGGTCTACAATAATCAAAAAATGTTTTATAATTTATGAAATAAACAAATGGGGGAAATTGAAGATTTAAAAAATGAATCATAACTACTAACCTTTTCACTTATCTGAATACTCTAGCTACTTAAGGAAGAAAGATGGAAAAAAAAAGTCATTTTTTCCTATATTCTTTCCTAGGTTCTAAATGATCTGGAATGTCATGGAATTGCTATATCAGAACAAAGCCGAGCAGAGCTGGAACAGAAAATAGACGAAGCTAGAGAAAACATTCGTAAAGCAGAGGTAAGGTGGTGGCTGATTGTGGCACTTGTCACGGTTGCCCAATGACAGTTCGCAAATGTGCTGTGCTCCTTCAGAATTGAATTTCCACGCACAGTAAGTCAGAGATGATTCACTGTCTTCATCGCGTCCATAGTATCTGCTGAATGCCTGCTTGTAGAGCACACGCATGTAAATAAGACACGGAACTTGCTGTGAAGGTGTCACACTCATGAGACATCACATAGCAAGAGCTAAATCTCAATGGAAATATTAATTTTCAAATTTTCACAGTATATGAAATAAATCAGTCAGATTACTAGTACAGAAGTTGATACATATGTAAGTTCAAAGCCTAGAAACTCTCCCCCATATGGAGGCGCTTGAGATGAGCTTTTAATAGGGAAGATTTGGTAAACTAAGAGGGAAAAAATATACACTAGGGGGAGCCAGCCAGGAGCATGGGTGGTTAAGGCAGCGAGATTTCACATGGCCAACCATGCAGTTCAAGTCCTGGGTCGAGCAGCCTGAAAAACACACCAGGTGCATGTGCACAGGAGCCCAAAATCCTGAGAGGAGAATGGAGGCAAAGTGATTGTGGCATGGTTATTACCCCTGAGATAGTGCTTTCTCCCTTTCTCTCTCTCTCTTGTTCTCTCCAGAGAGCACACATGCCCTGTGGCAAGTTTAAAAAAAATTTTTTCTAATGGATTTTAATTTTCATAGGAGTCATGGAATCCTTTCAGGGTTATATGAGAGCTATGAAACTTCCTCTCCGCCACACACACCCAAAAATGTGGTTTGTGTAGAGTGTCCAGCATTCGTATACTGGTGTTCCTACTATATGACCCTATATGAAGTCCACAGTTCTTATACCTAATACTCCCTGCCCTAGAGGGGGAGAAATTGAGATGGAAAGCATGAAAGTATTAGCCAAGGAGGAAGACTCAAGCTGCAGTTTGGCAGTTGGGTTTATGTACAAAATCTTAATATGATTAGAGTGAAAGAATTTTTGTAAGGACTTGTGGTAAAAAGTAAACTGATAGTGGTTAAGTCCCAGTCATGGAGGACTTGTATGCACATGTGCATATTTCTCTACTTAGCTACAACATGGTAAAGGGATACAGAGGTGACCCTTTGAAAAGACTTGACACTGACCAGCCCTCAAGAGATTATGTTCTTGTTAGGAAGGCATAAAGAATTCCGAAGATGGGGCCAGCAGATGGCATGGTGGTTAAGGCACTGGACTTCCACATGGTCAACTGCAGTTCAAGTACCAGACCAGGCGGCTTGAAAATCACACTAGGGATGTATGCCTAAGTGCCCAGAACCCCAGGAGGAGGAATGGAGGAGAAGGGGTTGTGGCATGTCCATTTGCCCTATTGGTGGTGGGAGTGATTTCTCACTTTCTCTGTCTTTCTCTCTCTCTGGCGAGTGCACACACCCTATGGCAAAAACCTGAAAAAAGAAGGCCAAAGATAACTGAGATTGTAAAGCCCAGTGGTCAAGATGATCCTTACAAGTACACGTAAGGAACCAGAGGATGCAGAGGCCACTGTGAAGGGTTGTTAGGACCAGTGACAGAGAAGAGGTAGAACTTAAGTTGGGTATTGGCAGATGAGCAGTATCAAATAAGCAGAGGAAAGGGATAGCACAGATTTATTGCACGTAACCTCACAAGGCGGAACTTTGAACCGAAAGATGAAAGAGATGGGCAGGATGGTTTGGTGACAGTAAAACATGATACTCTGTGAGGCAGACCCACATGGGAAAGTTACAGGTTTGTGCCCAGAGGCGTCCCTTAGTGTCCTGGGCACATAATCTCACTGGGCAAAGCTGTGGGTGGACCGTGGCATCAGAACCCTGTCAGGGTTGCCGTATCATTCTCTCTCTCTGTCTCTCACTCATGGAATAAATAAACATACATTTTTTTTAAAGAATGAAAAAGGGAAGGAGACGTATTTGAGATTGGTATTGAGAAATATTTTTTAACATTCAGATCTTCCCAATGACCAAGCAAGCACCCCAAGGACATAGTACAGCACTATAAGTACATGAGAAGATTTGGATCAGGCACCTGGGGTTCTAATTCTTGCATTGGTTGAGAGTTCATCAAAACTAGTCCTTTTTAAACACTCCTTCAGGACTTGGGAAGTTTGGGGAAGGTGAGTGCTCCTGTTGTTGTGGAGTGGGAGCAGAGGAAGCACACGGAACGTGAGCGTATTACTGGCACAGCCCCGTGGACGTGATGTGAACCTGCACAGGCTTGCCATCTGCCGGCCCGGAGAAACCCCATAACCCCACGTCTGCTATATCCCTGCCATGGTCTGATCCACAGCCTCCAAAGTAAGAAGGGCAGTGAGCAACAAATAGCCATTTTCCTCTCTAAATTCAAGCTCATGGCTAAACCACTACCCCAAGTAGTGCCAAGTACTGCTGGCAGACCCTTGCCTACTTTGAGAAACACTGGCTTGTGGTCTAAGAATTTTTCCTGTTGTTTGTTTTTCTACTCCTTGGATGGAGCCAGCTTCAGAGCCTTGGAGGAACAGGGTAATTATTTTGAAACAAGTCTCAGAAGTTTTCTGAAGGGTATGTTCTTTCTTGTATTTTCTGTTTCTGGACCCCACCTATGGTGTCACTGTCTGGCACCCTAACTGTACTGACCTCCCGTCTTCGGCAGGTATCAGTCACACAGTCTTCCTTTAGGCCGAATGACCTCTTATTTCCATGAATGTGCTAAACTACACTGCATGTGTCAGTTTAAAACCCAAAATATGAAGCGAGATTTCCACAACAGAATGTCTCACCCCTCCTAATACAAGTATTTTAAGTCTGCCCTCTCAAAGAAAGGTTTTACCAAAAAATATGCAATATACTAAACCATGATCCCAGATCCGTTACCTCAGTTTTGAATATCAGTAAAATCTAACTCATCCTGCTGTTACCTTGAAGTGATCTCTACCTTGGTTTCTACTTATTAGATACAAAAAAAAAATAGCCCAGCTGAATGAGCTGACAAATATGAGGGCATATTTATTGAGGTAGTGCTTAAAGGACTGTCATAATGAAATTTTAGATAGACTAGACCACAGGGTCTTCAGAGAAACCGACAACAGTCACTTCTGTTTATCATTGGCATTTGATTTTCCATTCCTATTCAGTTGTTATTTACTTTATTTGTTATGAATACCTATAAAAAAGGAGAAAGCTAGTTAAAATTTCATTATATTCTTTGTGTTTGCTTTTTAACTCTTTCTACCATGAATGACACTCACCTTTGTTTAATCTGCTTTACCCTATCTTTTCTATATTCTGTTTGCAGTCAGTATTCTCTTACTTACATGGAAAGAAGAGATGGAGAGATTTTTCCCTATACCAAAGTTGTGATATATTCTCTTATGTTTTCTAAGTGTTCTAGTTTTAGCTTTTACGTTTGAACTATGATCCTAACATTTTGATTTAGTGTTGAGATCTGATATGAGTTACAGGTCATGGTTCTTTTTTCCCACAGAGAGTCAGTTCTAAAGCCTTTTTTTTTTTTTTTTTTTTTGAGAAGGTTTTACCAGAGGGAGCGTGTGCTCACCGGAGAGAAAGAAAGAGACAGTGAGAGGGAAAGTGAGAAATCACCCCCAGAGCGTTAACCTGACTTCATCAAAACTACAAACTTTCATGCGTCAAAGGACATTATCAAGAAACTGATAGTCTACAGAATGAGAAAATTATTTGCAAGTTCTGTATTTAATAAGGGACTTGTTTCTAGAATACATAAAAACTCTTATACAAAAAAAGACAAAACCAAAATAAAAAGAACTATAAAAAGACAAGTAGCCCAGTGTAAAAATGGGCAAAGAATCTAAATAGTCACTCTTCAAAGATGTACAATGATCAGTAAGTACACAAAAAGATGCTTGAATCATTCATCATCAAGGAAATGCAAGCGAAACCACAGTGAAATACCACTTCACATCTATTAGGACGGCTAGAATCAAAAAGCCGAGATTAACAAGTGTTTGCCATAATATGGAGAAACTCTTATAACCTGCTGGTGGGATTAAGTGGTGCCGCCATTTTGAAAAACAGCCTGGCATTTCCCCAGATGTTTAAAATTAAGCATTTCCAGCAATACCAGTCTAGGTTGGATGAAGAGAAACGAGACGTATTTCCACACAAAAGCTTATATATAAGCAACATTTCAAAATAGCCAAAAAGTAGAAACCTCCTACATGTCCATCACCCAACAAACGACTAAACAAAAGTAGTATATTCAAATTATAGAATGTTATTTGGCCATTAAAAGAAATGCAATACTAATACATACACATCACCTAATCACAGAAGAGTTCTTGATATCTGATCCTTTTCTTGGTCTTCTTAGATAATTAAGTTGAAAGCTGAAGCCCGACTGGACTTGCTGAAGCAGATTGGTGTTTCTGTGGACACGTGGCTGAAGAGTGCCATGAACCAAGTAATGGAAGAACTGGAAAACGAGCGGTGGGCCCGCCCTCCTACAGTAACCAGTAATGGCACTTTACACTCGGTATGGTTTCTTAGATACGATGGGCTGACTTCTATTGAGGGATCCTATTTTTTGACTCTGCCGCCAAACTTAATAGCCAAAATTTAAGAAAAAAAATAATGATTTGCTAGTGGTTTGGAATTTTTTTTCTTTAAAAAATTGATTTAAATTTATTTCAACTTAGTGCAAGAGGGGAAAAAAGAGAAGAAAAAACTATTGTGTTAAGTGTTCTTTTGTTTTGTTTTATTTTTAAATGTGGAGTAAAGAATATGTTATGATTAATTGAATTATCAATAATAGTCTGCCATACTCATGATCCCATTCATGAGTAAACATGCTTTTCATCCGAAAGTGGTAAAATATAAAACTTAATTTAATATTTATAAAGTTCTTAGAGGTTTTCTCTAGTGAAAATGAAACAAACATCCATAGAACTGAAAAATATCTTAAAGAAGTAAAAGGAACATTCCTTTTTTTTTTTTAAGAATTTTTTTATTTAAATTTATTTATTTATTTAAATTTGACCAGAGAGGGACAGAGTGAGAAAGAGAGATTGAGAGAGGGAAAGTGAGAAAGCAAAAGTGAGAAAGCAAGTTACCAGGTCTGGGACTCAGACCTCAGTCAACCATGTGGAAGTCCAACGCGTTTTCTCTAGTGAAAATGAAACAAACATCCATAGAACTGAAAAATATCTTAAAGAAGTAAAAGGAACATTCCTTTTTTTTTTTTAAGAATTTTTTTATTTAAATTTATTTATTTATTTAAATTTGACCAGAGAGGGACAGAGTGAGAAAGAGAGATTGAGAGAGGGAAAGTGAGAAAGCAAAAGTGAGAAAGCAAGTTACCAGGTCTGGGACTCAGACCTCAGTCAACCATGTGGAAGTCCAACGCCCTTAACTGCCACACCACCTGCTGACCCCAAAAAGAACATTCTTAACATGTGGGCTATCTGAAGGTGACTTGCTTTTACAACCTCCTCACAAGGAGACCGTGCAGGTGTGGACACACATGTTTTCGTGTTTCACATTTTCTTACTTTCCATTCCATTCCAAGGTCATCAAGTTCATTCAGCCTTAGGTTTTTATGTTGGAGATCTGAGTACCAGAAAAAATGGGTGATTTGCCTGATGTTACACAGATGGCTAGTGCTGGATAGCTAGTCAGACTCAAGTGATTCCTACTACCATCTCCTCACCCATTACTCTCTAACATCCTAGTTACGTTCTCAGTGGTATTTATTACAGTTTGTACTTCTTTTTTTGTTTATTATCTTTCTTCCTCTCTGAAATATAATTTCTGCCTGGTTCACTGCTCTGCATGGCAAAGCCTTACACTTGGTACGTACTCAACAAATACTTGTTGAAGAAATGAACAAGTGAATGGATGGATGGATGAGTGCGGGTGTGGGTGGAATAGTGGCAAACTGAAAGCTAAAACTCTAATGTCTCCATTTCCCTTGATAGCCCTCTGTTCTCGTGCCCTTCAGATATAAGGCATCCTTGCTAGAGAAAGTGACCAGTTTAAAAACATTCCTGGAAGTTTTGTCAGTTTTTTTAACACAGCATTCTGGTTTTCTAATGGGAATACACTTGCACATTTTAAAAGGATTGTGTGTTTTAAGGAAAAAGAATCTACTGAAGATTTATTTTCATTCCACTATAAATGCAAACCAACGGGGGGAAAGCACACCATACCGCCTTGATTTTGTGGTTAGAGGAGCTGTTCTGGTGTCATTAGAACAAACTTGTTCCATAGCGTGAACTATCTGTTCCTACTGCTGCTTTTAAAAGTCCTACTCCCAGGACGAGCAAGTGGCATAATGATTATGTTGCTGGACTCCAACGTAGTCGACTACAGGAAGTCCCAGACCAGTGGCTTAAAACTCACTGCCGAGCATGTCTACATGTGTGCCCAAAATCCTGAGAGGATGATAGAAGAGAAAAGATTGCAGTGTGGCCATTCCCCCAGGGAGGCAAGGGGTGATTTCTTGCTTTCTGTTTCTCTGTGTCTCTGTCCAGTGAGTGCACACACACCCTATAGCAGGAATCTCCCTAATAAAGAAAATTCTTCAAAGACTATCTCAACTGACATTTCCTTCATGGGGCAAACTTCTTTCCTACTCTGGTTGAGGTTGAGCTTTTCTTTCTTGCTTTTTTTTTTTTTTTTTAACAGAGATTTTTGTTATAGAACAAATGTACTTACTGGAGAGACAGAGAGAGAAAAATGAGAAAGCTCCCCCCGGGGGAAAAGTCATGCCACAATCCATTCATTTTCAGAATTTTGGGCACACATGCACATGTGCCTGGCATAAGTCTCAAGCCACCAGGTCCGGGACTTGAACCATGGTCAGCCATGTGGGAGTCCAGTGCCCTAATCACCATGCCACTAGATGGCCATGGTGTTGAGCTTTTCTAGTAGCATTTCACAGAATGGAGGGACTTGAGGAGTTAGAAGATATTTTAGAGTCATTTAACCTAACTTTCTCTCAGATGCCCAGAGCAGGGTGACTTTTTCCAAGGTGTACTGATGAGTTACGAGTAAGCAATTTGGAGTCTGCCATATTGTAACCCAGGTTAATGACACTGCCATGTGTCACTAAGATCCATAAAGGGCAGTAAGCTCTGAGAAGAGAAACCAAGTTTTGTTCCTCTCCAGTTAGCTCAGAAAGTGAGAACAAAGTCAGGTGTAAGTGACTTCTCAGTCAGTTAGAAAAGGTGCTAGCCAAGGAAAACCATGGTTGAAAGCCAAAATTAATTTTGTGCCTAGAATCAGCTGTCATCATAAACTGCACAACAGAATAACCTGAAGTGGACAGGTATTAGGACTTTTTTTTTTTTAAGAGAGATTTTTGCTATAGGGCACATATGCTCGCCAGAGAGAAAGAGAGACAGAAAGCGAGAAATAACCCCCAAGGGGATATGGTCATAATGCAGTCCCTTCTCCTCCATTCTCCTCTCAGGATTTTGGGCACACACACATGCCTTGTGTGAGTTTTAAGCCGCCAGGTCTAGACTCAAACCGTGGTCAACCATATGTGAGTCTAATGACATAACTGTTATGCCATCTGCTGGTCCCATCTTTGAAGAATTTTAACAGGCGATGAAGAAAGGCTCCTGAGTTGTGAAGGTATTCTAAAGGCCTATCCACAGCCATCAGGTCACGTGGAGACAGGACTTGTCAGATGGTCTGAGAAAGCATTTTGTAGTTCCATCCCACTTTTTCTTTCCTTCTTGGCATTCTTATGGAGCCTGTATCTTTCTTCTTCTGCTGAAAATTGTATTTGGTGGAAGATCTACTGACAACATAAATGAGAGAGAGATGTAGGCACAAAATAGCTTAATGAGGACCCAATATTTACCTAACCAGCTCTTAAAGAGCAGCACTGAAATAACTTAGAGGGGGTTGTATCTCTTCACACTGACAGCTAGCTGGCTGAGGAACATGAAGTAGAAATACACATTCTCGGGACCAAATTATTCATTCCATTATAGATGCCAACAAAAGCATTAGTCATCTGGAAAACATGATTAATACTACAGTTAGACATTAACAGTGTAGCTGAAAGTGCCTTATGGAAGATAAATATTTTTAAAATACACAATCTGTTTACCCTATGGAAGGAAGGAACTAAACTTGGTCATTAACTCTTTTCCTTCTGTATCACACTGTGTTGTTGAATACAGCATTGGAAAGAACAAAAGAAAAAAATCTCAGACTATAGCAACTTTTTTTTAAAGGAGAACAATCTACTGGTATAATTAATTATTCAGTTGATGGGTAGCCAAAGCCTACACCCAGCTTCCTGTGATTAGATTGCTACCAATGACCCAGTCAGCCTTCGTGTCACTCATCCCTCCCTTCTCCTTTTTCCTGTCCCCTTTTACATAAAATCCATACCCAGTTTACAACTTTTTAATTAATGGTAGAACAGAAAAACTTATATAACTACATTTTTAAAAATTCAGAAGACAATAGAGAAGAATATGGAAATTTAACTTCAAAAAATTAGGAAGAAACGAATAATTCATCAGGTGACCAGAAACCACCACAGAGGCACAAGAAATACAAGAAACCAAGAAAATCTTTCTCCTCCATGGAAAAGAACAACTCCTCATGCACAGACAGTACAATGGAAACTCGTGGAAATGTCAGATAAAGAATTTAGAGTATTTGTAGTGACAAATCTAACAGAGATGTAAGAGAAGAGAGACAATGAACTCCAGAAGATGCAGAAGAAAAGAATCAATGAGTTCCAGGAGGTGCAGAAGTTCTTGCACAAGTTGCAAGAGGAAATACACATCGTAAAAAAGAATCAAATGGAATTATTAGAGGTGAAGGTTATAATACAGGAAATCAAAACCTCCCTTTAAAGTATTAAAAGCAGATTAGATTATGCAGAAGATCATATCTCAGATGTAGAAGACAGAACCTCTGTCCTAGGAAAATTCACCAAAAAGACTGAGAAAATAACCCAACAAAATGAAAATAATATATGAGAAATATTAGATACCATTAAACATCCAAACATCCAGATAATAGGTATCCCAGAAGGTGAAGAAACTACTAAGGGTGTTGATAATCTATTCCATTAAATCCTGGAAGAAAACTTTACAAACCTAGAGAGGCATTCAAAGATCCAGACCCAAGAAATACAAAGGACCCCACTTAGAATCAACCCATGATCTTCTCCAAGGCATATCATAGCCAGATTGACCAAAGCCACAGAGACGAGGTTATAAACTTGGCAAGAAAGAAACATTGAGTTACTTTCAAAGGATATCCCATCAGGCTAATAGCAGACCTCTCATCAGAAACAATGCAAGCAAGGAAAGAATGGGAAAATATATTCAAGTGTTGAGTGAAAAACATTTTCAACCAAGAATTCTATACCCAGCAAGATTATCCTTCATATGAGAAGAAGGAAAAAAAAAAATTCTCAGATAAACAAAATCTGAAAGAATTTACCAATACCAGTCCAGTTCTCTAAGAAAATCTGAAGGGAGTAACAGACAGAAATAAGAG